CCCCATAATTTCTTTTTGAAAAATTAAAACGACGTTATAGCATTGAATGAGATTAAAAATAAGACCATAGGCACAAATCTCCTATATTAAGAGAGAGAAATACTTTAGTAAAAGTAATGCTGCCCTACTACATAGGGTTGCTTCGTACACAGCATACTTATCAATCCACACGGACATTAATTTTATATTATATTTTTCTATTTTTTACATGTATATATATAACATATCTTTCCTTTTTTTTTTCTTCTTCCCTTTCATAACAATACACTTACAAGTTATCAACAATAAAACCACATTAAACAATATACATAGCACAATAAACATTTCCCCAAGACAAAAAAAAAAAAAAAAATTCCCTGTTTCTCTCTTTAAATTCTCAAACGCCAGGAACTCATTACAACATCGCACACATATATAACACAGCATTTCCTCGAATTTAGACAAAAAGATAAGACGGTTGTGGACCAATTTAAAATTTAATAAACGATTAATATCAGACGTCCTCAATCAGTATATAGATGATAGTGGATTATCCCAAGGGTGTCCAAAATAATATTTTCGGCCAATACCAATACCATATTATATTAAATTATTTATATAGGCAATGATTTAAAAAATAGGTAAGTGAGAGTAACACTTAGCATTTATGTTGTGTTTTAGGGAAAAAATTATATTTTTTCATGGAAAATGCACATTTTTATGAACAAATTAAAAGAACAGAATAATTGTCATGCATTATTTAAAATTCATTACTCACAATTTGAATTTCCAATGGCCATTTTTTCTTGTAGTCACTATCCGTTTTGATTCTTTGAAACAAAAAGGTTTCGGAACGAAAATACAGAAAAGAATAAATAAAACACTAAAGAATTTTAAATAAATCACTATTTTCACACTTATAACACTTGAAATGAAGTTTAAAACTTGATAACACCCGTACCGCATCAGAGTGAATCTAATTCCAAATAGAGAAACAGTTGTGTTAGGGAAACTAATTAGACTACAGAGAACTGGCATCTGATTGGCTGAGAGCAGCGCTGTTACCGCCAAGTCTAAAACAGTGATTAAAAAAAACCCCGCAATATTAAGCTTTATTCCATACTCAACTGCAGCGGCCTTCTCGATTTGTTACAAAGAAATGATATTAATAATTATTTTATTTATTCTTGTTTTTAATTAATACAACCCCGTAACACGCATTATTGCTCACATTTATTATTTTTAAAAATTAATATATTGGAAATAAAATAAGATATCAACATTCAATATTTAAGCTTTATATAATATTTGTTTTATATATATCTAAATTAATATTATTAAACCACGTTATTTGTAATATGTTGACATTAATGTGTTTCTAAAATTTATTATTATAATAATAATTATTATCTCTTTAAGAATTAAAGAAATGCCTTGTACTAAGATTAAATAAAATTTTATTTGTTAAACTTTTTAATGAAAATAAACTTGATCTTTTAACCTTCACTTATTTATGTAATTTAAGTAATTTAAGTTCAATGGAAATCATTATACAAATAGACATTTGTTAATTGAGACATTATTTGATTTTGAAAACTATATATATATATATATATATACGAAACTCAAAATATGTATTAAAAAAAAAATTTATTGTTTGTTAAATAATTATTTTTTAACCAATCATATTTTAATTTAAACGATTTATATATATATATATATATATATATATATATATATATATATATATATATATATATATACATATATATATATATATATATATTTTTATTTTTTTTTAAATTACCTTAGAAACTTAGCAAGGTAAAAACCATATACTTTTTAAACTAAATCTAACACTGTCGATTTGAATTTAAATAATATCGGACCGAAAGTGAAGCGAACCGCACAGAGACCAGAAGCCAACTAGATGATATTAAAACAGAAAGAATTCAGTCAGCCATATTGTAGAAGGTAAACAGTCCATAATTTAATTAGGAGTGTGGTGGGAGAGAGGAAATTGGTATTGAAAACAACATTATTAGATCTGTCTTCACTTTTGGAGTCCTTCCACAAAAATTGGAATCCTTATTTTATCAAATACATAGATTTGTATAAATTACTATTAGTACGAATTCGTTTTTAATAGAAATTATTCTTAGTCTAATTTATTTATGTATATATATGATATAGTTAGATAAAATATTATTGTTATTGTATTATTTGATCTCTTTCTTTGGAAGTAAGAAAAACAAATTAATCACATTTTGGTAACACTAGATTCAACTTACTTTATACCTAGTTAAAATCCATACAGCTTCTAATATTCGGGCTAAAGCCCTACAAAATGGTAAAATATAACCATGTCTTATGAAATAAATATTAAAAACTTAGCTCTAAAAGTATTGTTGTTAATGTAATTACATTTAATAGAACTTCAAGAATCACTTAAACATCATTTCTTCTAGGTAATTAGTTAGTTTCTTTCTTTTTCTCCCAAAGTAGTAATCATTATTTATAAAAAAAAAATTCTGACTGAAGCCCCCCCTCCAATATTCAATTCTGGATTCGCTAGTGTATAGTAGTATGAATATTTTGTTACTTATACTAATAATTTTCTTTTGTACAATACTTTGAAGCAGTGAACTTATATTTGCATTCGTTGATAACTTAATTGTATCTCTTATTAATAACATTTTCAATATTAAAATTTCACAGTTATAGGTGAATCTACGGGAGAGGAGGAGGGGGAAGGCTTTTGCGCCCCCAAAATGGTATAACGTACCTATGTTTTATGGTAAAAAATAATTAAAAAATTATTTCTTAAAGTATTATTGCTAGTTTAATTGTACTTAATAAGAATTCAAGAATCACTTAAACACCATTTCATATAGGTGGTTAATATCTTTATTTTTTTCCGAAGAAATTTTTGTTATATGTATATAAAAAAAAAAAACTTCCGGGCTGAAATCTCTCTCCCCCCCCGCAAAATTAAATCCTGGATCCACTAGTGTTCTCAGTTAAAACTTTGTCATACTTTTAGTTTCTTTATTTTTCAACTGATGGAACAAACATTAATTTGGGATATAGATAACTTTGTTGTGAGAGATCTCTAAGTGAAAACTCAATTCGGCCAAATTTGTTAGAATATTTTCGAACTAAAGTCACAAAATATATAAATGTTTGTTTAACAAGAGAAATAAAAAAAAGTTTGTCATTAGCAGTAATGCCGTTGTTTGTAAAGTCAGACCATTGCGTTTCCCACAGTTTGTGAAACGTGTAAACGCACCATTTATAACACACAAATGATTTCATTAGTACAAAATAAAAATATAATAACTGATAAAATTGCTATCATGTTTTTAATAGAAGTCATTATTTAATATTATTTATCGATAAATAATATAAAATAAATATACCAAGTATCAATTTTATAACAGAACAAAAGTTTATAATATTATATTATTTTATCGACAACACAGTAGAAGGCAGCAAATAATTGGCGGAATAATCTAACATCCTGGCCAATCAGATTGTTTCATTCTCTATAACTTAATTTCACATTTAATCGACCGCGAAAATGTTCTCCTCTCTAGCGGTTATATTCGGTGCTATTAGATTCAGTGGCGTTTCATGTAGTGTCGGATGTTATATTTCAAATGTGTTTTATGAAAGTAGTGGTGTGAAGTATTTTAGTTAATAGTGTTAGGTTTCCGTCGTGGACTTCCGTTTTATTAGTTTCGGATTTTTTTTTAGCTTATAGTGAATTGTGAACGCAAGAATGAAATCATGCTGTTAAAGATGAAGAGGTAAAGATTTAATTCATTTATGGATGCTCCATATCATTTGTTGGAAACTTAAAATTTTATTGGGATTAATATATGACATAATATTAATAACTTAATAATAAATAAATTAATTTCTATATGGACCAAGGCTGAAATATAATTATCAATTACATATCAACCAAAAATGTTGTGATAATGAATAGAATCAGTTATTGTACCATAGCATTAAATTTCACTTCAAACTTATTAGTTGCAGAACTTCTGAACACAATTTATTTCATTTTAACCATTATAATTTGTAGTTATTCTTTGGCCAGGAAGATTATAAAGTAATGTTGATGTAATATAGACTATTTAATCAATTTCAAAGGCTAGTTCAAGTTACCAGAGTATAATCAATATTATTCTAGAATTATACAGCGTTATCTCTTAAATTTAGCGTTTTCATGTAAATCACTTATTTTTTTTACATTCAATATCTTTTGGTACCTATTATTTGCTGTTGCTTCAATCCATCTTCACTTGTAGATTTTATATGACCGATTAACCAAAAATTAGCAAGTTTTATGTTGATTCTTGATTTCGATCTAGTATTGCGTTATATAAAAAAATGAAAGTTTAGTATAACTTAAATAGTTGCAGGCAATTCTGTACAAATGTAATCAATATAATTGTTTTTCATATCTTTTGTTGTTTAATTATTGAAGTACTTTAATTTATTATAAATAAAATATACAGAAAAAGAATATTTTTATCTTTTTCAAACAAATTTATCATTTTTCTTTTATATCACTCTTTTATTGCTTTTAAAACAAAGTAACAATCTATCAAGAATAAAACTTGATTATATAAGTTATTAATTTAAATATATTTCGGACAATTCTCATGTTTTGGTCTTGCAGTTTATCAATAGATTTAAAACTAATTGGAAAATGAATCTTTAAGCAAACTTTTGTATATTAAAAATGAGCAGATATTAGTTATACGGAAGTAATTTGTTTTTTATAGTTTAATTCATCCAACGCTGATAATAAGTATTAACAGGAACGTACTGCTGAATGATAATGCATGTTTTTGTTGAAGTCTACATATTAGTAGCCGATACATATTTTAGAATTATTGTATTTTTAAAATATATTTACACATTAAGCATTAAGCACCATGGCCTGTTTTTTTTTTACTGATTACTCCCTTAGAGTCAATCTTATCAACTTTAAATATACACACACTCACCTCAAGTTGAAATCAAATGGATTTCTGACGTATCTTCTACACCTTTCTGTGATCATAAGTTCTTTGCCAACAAAAGCATTTGTGTTAACAGTTCCAACTGTAGTAGTAGTTGCGGTAGCAGATAATTTTTCTTTTTTCTCATTTGATTTTTTTTGTGATGTTGTTTCAGGTAAGCTGTCTTCCCTATATAGAAAGAAAATCATTTTAAATTCTTAACATCAACATATGGATGTTTAAGGTATGAATAATAAGTTATATTTAAGTTTATAGAAGGTATATAATGAGATTAATTTAATATTATTCTGATATTGAAGAAATATAAAGACTCAATAGTCTATTATTTATTGCATTTTTGTTACAAAATAATTGTGTTTTTGGGTGGTCGTTATGAATTTATTTATCCTTCATGTTAAACATTTTTAATAGACTGAATGGGAGACCCAAGGGTCTGCTACATGGAATTAATGTTCTATCCTGCTCTTGAAAATTCAATTTTAATAGCAATAGAAAAAATAATAATTATATGTGGCATGGAATTTCATAACTAGTCGACTCAATTTTCTATATTTTTATTAAATAGTTCGGGGTAGTGGTGTACCTCAGTAATAGGCGGATCTATGGAGGGGCATTCGGGCTGAAGACCCTCCCCTCCAAACTGGTATAATTTAACCAAGTTTTATGGAAAAAAATATTTAAAAATTATCTATCAAAGTATTATTGTACGTGTAATTACATTTAATAGGACTTCAAGAGTCACTTAAACATCATTTCATGTAGGTAGTTATTATCTTTCTTTTTTTATAAAATAATTATCGTTATATACATGAAAAAAAAGCTTTCGGGCTGAAGCCTGGATCCTGGATCCGCTAGTGCTCAGTGGTAGGGCAATGAGTTTTCAATGCTCAAAGGTTTAGGTTCGAATCCTGACTCATAGCAGACAAACTATTTATTCTGTTTTATCAGCCATAGGGTGACCCTAGAGTCGCAAGATCCACCTGGGGCACACCCAGCCTCTTTAAAGTGAGTATTATTAATTAAATAATTAATTAAGCAGGAAAATCTGGCAGTTGAGCTTGATCTCGGTCAAATCACCTGCTTGCTCGATTGTTTACCAAGAAACAGTACTTTCCCTAAATAGTACTGAACCCTTCATAGGTTTTAGAGGTACAGGTTTTCTTTTTTTATTTTGTTTTTAACAGTCTGTTAATTAATTAGTAATTTGTTTAACAGTTAATACTAGATTATAATGAGATAAGAGATTATTTGTTCATAAAAAGTTTAATTCCATGCAGTTTTACTGTTTTCGAAAAAAATACTTTACCTCAAGTCATTCTAGTACCAAAGTTGAGAGAAAAGTACAATAAAACCATTACAACCGCTCAACTATGTTGAATTTCTAAATGACCCAGCTTACTGATGAGCCTTAATCGATAATATTTAATTAGAGAGAAAAATGGATAAAGGTTATCAAACCTCTAAAGTACCAAAGTAAAAGTAAAGACTATCATCCAAAGAACCAAATGATATAATTTTCTCCCCATTTTCTTCCTTCTCACAACTGTCCATACAGCTCATAACAGTGGCGAGAATTCATACTGGCAATAGTGCAGGATTCCTAGTGAGTCCAAAACGATTCCGCCATACTCTGTAGATGCCTTTTTTCCACACATAGCTTTTCCAAAAAATTAGCAGTTGAAAGTGAAATCGCTCATCTACTTCTGAATCAAAGTTCCCGAACCCAATATTCTCTCTCACCAAATTCTATATTTTTCCTGTAGGTACAGAATTCCTTTTTATATAGATTTATTTATTTTTGTATTATGAGATCTTGATATTCATCGTTTATTTCAAATCTAATTTTGGATCAATTATGAGAAAAAAATATTGATGATAGAGTTGGGTGATTTTGGAAATTTCATGGCTCTTATTTAAAAACAAAACAGTAATGTCAGTTACATATTTATTGTGTGGAAAATACATAAAGAGATGTTAGTTCCAAAAAGTACTTAATAAAGATATAATTGTCTTTTCAAATTATAATGAAATGTATTGGAATGAAATATATTCAAGATCTCCAGGGATGAAGTTGTTTATTAAGTTTACTAATGTTTCGACTGAGGTATGTGTGACAATATTAGAGCAATGGTTGCTGGCTAGACAAGAACTGAGACTAGAGAGGTTCTTGTACAGTCCGTAATCGTCGCCCTGATGATGACCCACATACTTGGGTCGAAACATAGGCAAACTTAATAATCAACTTAAATGATTGCATATTCTGACTATTTTTCATTCTTTATATTGATTATTTAACTTGTTTTTAACAGACTGGTTTTTAAAATTTATTATACCTGAAAAGTAGTTCAATAATCTTACTTCAGAAGATAATGTTTTAAAAATATAAAAAATTTATATTAAAATAACACAAATAATTCCATAGTTCTAGTATTTAACTATATTTGAGGACTAATAAAGTAAATCATATACTACATTCTAAGGTCCCTCTTCAACTCTTTAAGGTGCTATCATGGGGTATTGTTTAAAAGCTTATCTTACTTTTCATCCACAGCACGGGCGGATCTACAGAGGTGAGGGGGGGGGGGCTTTCAGGATGAAGCCCCCCAAATGGTAAAATATAACCATGTTTTATGAAATAAATTATCTTTGAAAGTATTATTGTTCATCTAATTAGAGTAGGACTTCAACAATCACTTAAAGACCATTTCATATTGGTAGTTAGTTTCTTTCTTTCTCCCGAAGTCATTGTCCTAATATATTTGTACAAAAAAACTTTTTCAGACTGATGCTCCCTCCCCTCTCCCAATTAAATCCTGGATCCGTTAGTGATTTGTAGTGAATATTTGGTAACACCATATTTAAAATTTTCATTTAATATCAAATCCAAAGTCTGTTTACAGCAAACTAGATTTCATCATTTCGAACTATTTTACCAGATCACTCAGAACTAAAACATTGAAAGCATTCTTTTCTCGACCATGAAACTATATTTGGGGATTCAGTTCCTCTTTTTTTCTGAAATAGCTTTTCTTTATGCTCATCCTAAACATACTTTTTCCATCTTTTTACAATCCATGCAGGTGCTTGCCAATTAGAGAAATTTTAGTTGTGGATTTGTTTTTTGATGTATGTAAGAATTTATTGTTTTCTTTTTATCAGGAATGACACTGGTTTTTATTAGAAGAATATATTTTATAATAATCTTGATGATAATATACATGTGATTCTTATTGATTTTTTATATGTTTATTATTATTATTGTGTTTAATGAATCTGTTCATACTTTAGTTTATAATATTCTCTTGCCTTTAGGAAATTTCTATATTTTTTATAGATAAATGATGTTCTTGAGAAACATAGTCTAATAATGTCATTTTTTTTTTAAATGCTCTTATTTACTATTCTATGTATGATTTATGTATATGTACATATGTATATTAATCATTACACCAAAGGAATATTTTTAAAAACACAATGAACAATTTGGACATAATTTGACAAATACATCCACTCTTTGATTTCACTCTTCGATTCACAATCACCCCATTGACTAGTCCAATAATCTTAATCCCTATTACCTAGTCGATGCTGATTAAAATGAAAGTGGCCATAAGATCTAATTTATCAATAATTAAAAAAAAGAAAGTGGATAAATAAAGCTCACATAAAGTACGTCTAGGAAACAAAAGATAGACAACAGTTTTTATAGATGTGTTAGTTGCAAGTTGCAGTGCAGTTGCAAATATCTTGAAAAAATAAATAATTAAAAAAAAAGTGAAAATAAAAAAAGTTACTCATGAAGTTAATAAATTTCTGTCTGTTTTTATGGTTCAAATTTTTGTATTTATTTTCCGATAAAAATTAGCTGTAATATGTATAAAAACTAGTTTTGGTAAATTAAATGTATCGATTAATTGAGGTGCTATCCAATATTTTAAAACTTATTTTTCTTTCTGCATTGAGCACAAAGTTAGTAACCAACTTAAAAAAATGGTTTTATCGGAGCATTTTATAGCAATATGTATTTTTTTATTTATTTTTATATTTATATTTTTTTTAATAATTAGAATATTACATTGATGTAGGTGTGTCCAAGTGAATTATTTGTATGCTTATCAAAGCTTATCCGATAATTGTGTTGAAATTATATGGATATATATTTAGGATTGTTCTACAATGGTGTAGAAGGGAAATTGAAGGGGCTTTTGAGAGCACATAGATCGAAATGTCTGAGCTGGACTATAACTTCAATAAATGACTAATGTCACAAATATACCAGCGTATAACAAGTTATTCCAAACTCATTCCCTCTACCCCAAGGCTGATGGCGCTTTTCCCCATCCTCCCAAGAAAATTGATTGCTCTCTTCTTAAAAATGGTGCAAATAAAACTTAATACTCCTCCCCTCCCGCCAAAAGTAAAACTAAGTCCCATGTCCTTCGGTTTGAATGCTCTTCCCAATTGGAACCCTTCGAAAATATTGTTCCATCCAAAGTTCATTAGTTAAGTATGTGTCTCTCTCAAAATCTCATAATACTGTAAAAACGTTCCCGTTTCAAAAATTTGGCTGTGCAACTCCTTTCTGGGTACTCCTGTTCAAAGGTATTAAAATCCTGAAATATCTTTAAATTTAGAAATTATATTGATATATTAAAACCAGTCATACAAAGCATTAGTAGAAAGTTGAAAGATATATGGTTTGGAGACATGGTCTCTCAGTATGGAGGAATACTCAGGAAAAAAAATTCCTTTCAGTTGAAATGAATTTTTGAAGAAGGGTAGCCAGGACCGAAAGTTTCAGAAACATTAATATAAGGGAGAAATATTGAGAATTAAACAGAATATCTTTGAGGAGATGAAAGAAAGTAGACTCAGATAGTATGGCCTTGTGAGACGAATTATGGGTTGTGATTATTCCTTGTGGGCATCCACGGATTATTCCTTGTCAGCAAGGAAAGGTAATTATGGATCGGGAGACAGAAGGTAGAAGAAGACCAGTTAGTTGGAAGGATAGAGTGAGTGGTGGAGATCATGGCTGGTAGGGAACTAGGGTCTTTTTTACTTGAGGTACGCCAGTTATTTTTAAGCTGGTGAAGTATCTGTTATAGAAAAGTAATTTCTACTCTATATAGAGCCAGTTTGTCCTATATAATCTCGTTATTTTGAAAATTTGTGGGTGTAGGTCACGCCAAACGGCTCAATATTTTTGAAGGTCATCTTTTTTATCGATTTTATGATCAAATTATCTAAGATCCAAGTACAAAGCAAATGTGTATTTACGAGTTTTTAGTACCTAATGAAATATACAAAGTTTTCCTCCCCTCGAGATTGAAAACGCCCTAATTCCAAGAGTTTTAGTAAATAAAATAGTTATATGAGAAGGAGTTAATTGGGGGGGGGAGGGTGCGGTCAAATAAATACTAAATTAAAATATAGTAATTATTTAATTTTTGCCGACGTTTCCACCCACTTTGCAGGTCATCTTCAGGGCTACAAAAAATACAAAACATGTTGAAAATAAAAAATAAATATAAATAGATATAAAATAAGAAGTTGTCAGATAAAAAAATAAAAAGATGATATCAGAGATATTGTGGGTGACAATGTAGTTAAAATATTAAGTATTATATATGTAGAAGATACAAACAAATTGAAAATAAGTATGAATAAAAATAAAAATAAAGGAGAATATAGCATGTAAGTTAGAAGTAAACAGAATGCGATAAAATATAAGGAATAAGTGTATAACAAACTAATAGAGATTACATTAGATAACTGTGGATTAACAGATAAAGAAAATGAATTTTAACGAATAAATAGATTGAAAATTGAATAAGTATTATTAAAGTAAAGTTAAAATAAGAATAAGATAAAATAATAATAAGATATCAGTGGATAACAAGCTAGTGGAGGTTACATTTGATTGTAGGTAAAACAGATAATGGGACTAAAGGTTAAGAAGTAAAGAAATTGAAAGATTAATAGGGTAACATTAGTGTAATATCGTTAGGATAGATTATTAAGTATAAATAACTCTATGAGAAAACAATAATTTTAAAAGAGAACTTGAGAATGTAAGTATAAATGTAAGACAAGATTATGATGATAAAAGAAAAAAAAAAAAAAGAAAAATAAGTTTTACTATATATAGATGACAATTGACATTTAGTTTTTTGAAAACGGTAATGGAATAGTAGGCTGCATGAAGATAATAATAAGGTGTATAGTGGAAGGATAGGTGTGTGAAGAAAAGAACCACAAAAAATATAAAACATGTTGAAAATAAAAAATAGATATAAATAGAGTAGCCCTTTTGTAGCCCTGAAGACGACCTGCAAAGTGGGTGGAAACGTCGGCAAAAATTAAATAATTACTATATTTTAATTTAGTATTTATTTGACCACACCCCCCAATTAACTCCTTCTCATATTATATCAACGGTCAACCATCTCTACATCATTAAAATAGTTATAGGTTACGATGAGATGAAACTATTTATGAATTTTCAGTCGAATATTAAGAATTCGATAAAAAGGGATCTGTACCACGGACTATTAGTAAATATTATGCAATAGTTAAAATCACTCACAGAAACAAATATTTTTCCATTTTGATGGGTGGGGAACTTCAGCCCAAAGTCCCCCTTCCTTTAGATCCACCATTGTTATAGAATAACAATAAAAATTTAATTCTATACTCACATAGTCTCAGCTGTTGGCTCCACGTATTCATAATCCTCGCCGACCGGCAAATTACTCGGCAAGTAAACGGTTTTGTATGTCGAGGTTGTGGTGGTGTGGGATTTCCCTGTACTGTTGTGAACTATACGGACTTCGATCGTCAAGGGATTGGGATAAGTGAAGGAATCTAGGATAGCTTTCATCTTTCCCTTACTGCTTTTCTTTACGTTTGGGCCATTATTTGGAAGAATGTATTTTCCGCAAAAGGATACCGGGCTAGATGAGAATACCCCATGATTCCCAGTTTCCCAAGTAGCAGATTTTATATTGTTGATATTTGGGTGTAATTTCCAATCGATTTTACTTTCTAATGTTCTGTAACAAAAGAAAAAAAATATATTAATTAATTTTAAGTAAGGCCCATAATTTGTGGCACAGAACCCTTTTTAACAAATTATTAATATTCGCCTAAAACTTCGTGAATAGTTTCATCCCATCGTAACCTGACAATTTTTGAAGTGAAAATTTCTTTAGGCGCGTTCTGCACTTTTAAAAAAAAAAAAAAGTGAATTATATTAAATTCTCAGTTAAAGCTCGGGTAAAGTCGGCTAGAGTCGACTAATTTGAATTGTTTTTACATATGGATAAAATATTTCAGAAATTAAAAATTGGACCTGCTTCCGATGAGTGAGGAAATTTTTCAGCATTTCATACTCTCTTATAATAGGCTATAAAAGGAAAAAAAATAGTGTCGGAAACCAAATGATAAAGAGTTTATTTGAACTTATAGATTAAAATATTTCAGATACTACTAAAAATCGGACGCCAGAGAAATGTTCAGCATTTCATCTTCTTTGTAATTATTATTTGTAATAATTATTTCTAACTTATATTTCATATTATTACCATCGCCTTGTTGATGTTTTAACTTCTATCGTGTGGTCTAAAGCAGATACCTGAGTTTGTTTTTATTTATGAAAATTTTTGGAATTGGGCCGTTTTCAATCCGGAGATCGGAAAAATTTGTCTATTTAATTGGGTACCAAAAACTCATGAATACCCATTTGCTTTCCAATTGAATAGTAAAGCGGATTCTACACGGTCATTCGGAATTGCACTAATGACATTCCGAATAATCGTGTAAGGTAGTGAATGAAGTACTGATGGTGGTGCGCTGCGGATTTCCAAACATCCGGAAACCAAAGGTTCATTCACGAGAAGTGGAGGAGGGACTGAGGTAAAAGTAGTGGGGAGACCAACCACACTGCTGGATAGGTTAGGTTACCTAGGCCTCACAACCATTATAAATTTCTGATTTTCATTATATGTAAATAGTTAAATAATTTTTCATGTCCCTTGTTTATAATTTTAAACCATCTTCAACTATTTCTTTTAAATAGTTAAGAGGGCAACAAATTTAAAAAAAAAATGAGGAAACTTCACAATTTACTTTAAGAAAAAAAAAACTTTAACGTTGTGTATATTTATCAGTTCTTTTCCCATTTTCCCCAACAAATTTATTATTTTCGCCATACCTTTCCTTAATTTTTGTAAGTAGTAGACTTATATTTTACTAACTTTTGTCAAAACAATTTTCTATGAGACTAACTTTCTATGAGACTACTACTAGATAGGTTAGTTTACCTAGGTCTCGTTATTAAGTAAATAGTTGTTTATATCCTTAGTATATATTATTATTAACCATTTTCAACTATTTTTTCTTTAAATAGTCAAGTAGGCAATAAATTGAAGAGAATAAAAAGTGTAACCTTCACAATTTACTTATAGAAAAAAAATCTTAAACTGTTGTGTTTATTTGCACATTAATTTTTCCATTTTTCTTAACAAATTGATTATTTTCGCAATACTTTTCCTAGATTTTTGTATGTAGTTGACTTATATTTTTTTAACTTTGATCTAAACGATTTTCAGGCATTAGGAAGTAATTATTATATCTTCGTTTTTTTCTTGATGCCCAATATTATAAATGACGATGTCCAAATAAGCATATCTATGCTGTTTCTTTGTTTACTATTGAGCTAAATTGGTATCAGCAACGATAAGTAATGATCAGTAATGATTGAACGTGTCTTCATGATCAAAGCGATCGCGGCCAATCTTGGCACTTCTTGTGACGTTCATTCACGAATTACCGTGTAGGGTCTGCTTAAGATAATATCACAAAACCGAAGAAAAAAAAGGTGGCCTACAAAAATATTGGGCCGTTTGTCCTATGTAACTTGAGCCAATATAGTCTCGTTAATTTGATATTTAAGAATGAGGGTCACGCTAAACGACCCGATATTTTTGTTAGACTACTTTTTTTTTTCAATTATGTGATCAAATTATCTTACGATTATATTACGATTAGAAGAAAGCAAATGGGTTTACATGAGTTTTTAGTGTCTAACTAATTATTCAAAGTTTGCCGATCTCTATATTGAAAACGCCCCTTTCCGAGAATTTTTGTAAATAAAAAAAATTTGTTATGATAAGATGAAGATTTACGTATGTCATTCACGAAGTTGTAGGCAGATGTTAATAATTTGATAAGAAGGCGTAACTGTCCATCTCAAGTATGATAATACGTAGTAAAATATGCAACCAAATAGTAAAAGAACGTAATAAAAATAAATTTTTGAACCATATAAATACCTAAAACTTAAAGATACCGACTCATTTATATAAGAAAAAAAAATATATAAAAGCATGAGCATTTGCAAATAAATAAAGGATTTAGTAATATCGATTTCCTCTAGGCTATCTCATTTCTTTAGAAGATTTGAAAAAAAAATTGACGAACATTAGGAAAAAAGAAACTTAATTCTTCTAAAACATATGGTGTTGATAACAACATATTTGCTAAATCACACCATTATTTTCATTGAAAAATGGTAGGCTAAAATAATCAATTAATGTATTAATTACACAATAAAAAACAATTTATAACAATACTCACGTGAATAGTGTAAGTGTGATTAGAAGTGGAAGAACAGAACTTAGGTGCATTACTTTTGAATTTAATCGAAAAAACATTTATACACACATTTTGGATTAGGTTATGTTTCATTAAGTTAGATCTTCTATCTTTCATGTTTTATCTACTTCATCACTAATATAAATCTGGGACTGGGTATGTAATTGCAATAATGTAATAGTATTAACAGATGCTTGGATTTTGAAGCAAGTATCAACATGGCTCATTTAAACTGTTAATTCATGTCACAATTTTATTATTTTTCTGTTTACAAACCTCTATGGATTAGTAATAGGTTCCCACACTACTGTAGTAAGAAGTCACATGTCACTCACTATCAGAACTAAGCAGCAGTGTTCGAGTTGCGAGGATCATATATCATATATAGGATATATATTTATAAAAAATATTTTCTATTTTTATCGAGTATATAATAAAATATAAGATACTATATCCATTATTTTCTACATAAAACTACGATTGTTACATAACTGTTTACTTCTTCTTTCACACAAGTACAATGAAATAGTTTTTTAAAAAATGCCATTGCCTTGATTAGGTGGATTTTAGATACTTTTTACAAACTTAAAAATATTTTTTTTAAATTTACATTTAGTTAGAAAATTTAAATTAATTTCGTTGAAAACATGTGATTTACATTAAATATTATTAGTTTTCAAAAATTATTATTTATAATTTGTTCTCCATAATAATAATATTCTAATCTAGCAGGGGATTCCTAAAAAATTAGTAAATCTAGTCAGGATGTGTTTGACGGAGACACTTAATAAAGTTAGAATCGGTAATAATCTGTCCGAAAAATTTGAGGTTCGTTCGGGTTTAAAACAGGGGGATTCCCTTTCGCCTGTACTGTTCAATTTGGCATTAGAACATCCCATTAGGGAGGTAATGCGTACCGAGAAAGGGTTGGATCTGGGTGGGACAACATCCGTGCTGGGCTATGCTGATGATCTGGTACTGTTAAGCGAAGACCTTGAAACTATAAAACTAAATACGACAACGTTAATGAAAGGCGGTAAAGAACTAGGACTCGCAATAAACGTGGATAAAACAAAATATATGGTTAGCTGCAAAAATGGCGATACTACTGGTGATATCGATATAGATGGTAATATGTTTGAGCAGGTAGATAAGTTTAGGTATCTAGGTTCTACGATAACTAGAAAAAACGAAATTGAAGAAGAAATTAAGGTTAGACTGAAGGCGGGAAATGCTTGTTATTTTTCTGTGACAAAATTACTTAGTTCGCGCCTTTTGTCCCGAAACTTAAAAATTAGAATCTATAAAACAATTATCTTGCCTACGGTTCTTTATGGGTGCGAAACTTGGCCGCTTACATTAAGGGATGAGCAGCGTCTTAAGGTTTTTGAAAATAAAGTATTGCGTAGAATATTCGGACCGAAGAAGGATGAGTTAACCGGAGAGTTCAGACGGTTACACAACGCCGAATTGCGTGAACTGTATCCGAGTAATATAATTGAGATAATTTCATCGCGGCGGATCAAATGGGCTTGTAAAGTTGTTGGACTTTGTAACGAAAGAATTCCTAAAAGGTTAATATTTGCTGTGCCGAATGGTAAGTGTCCGAGAGGTAGACCGAAGCGAAGGTGGGAAGATTGCATTAAAGCTGATCTGAAGGGACTGGGTTTGGACGGAGAACGGTGGAGGGAGGTGTGTAATAAGCGATTGGTGGTGTCGGCATCGAGCCTTCGGGTTCGCTAAGCCTTTTTATTATTATTATAATTTGTTCTCCAATCTTCACTATCTTCTAAAACTTTCTATATTAGATATTGTTTTTTCTAAAATTCTTCGCTTTCCTACTATATATTATACGTTTACCTTCTGACTAGTATTTCCTAAGATTCATTTTCGACATGGATAAGCATTTTTATTTTTTTATCCTTTATTCAATTATCAAATTTTTTCAAAAGTTATATTTAACATTTTTTCGTGACTTTTAATAATGAAAGATAGTTAATTATTTGAAATGGACCATATTAAAGGTACTTTAAAGAAAGACGTATATAAACATTGGTATATTTAAGCCCTGTACGAAATAAATTTCAGACCGTCTTGGTCGGATTCTAATCGACACCGCTAGACTCGAGGGTATAAAGTGGACACTACACGGTCATTCGGAATTGCATTCCGAGTCACTATTGACGTTCTGATTGATCGTGTAAGGTACTGATGGGCGTTTCAGGCGCATTTCTGGAAATCAAAGTTTCAATCACGAGAAGTGGACGGGAGACTGACATAAAAGTGTTGGGGAGTGTGGAGTAAAAGTATTACCTTACTATTTGATAGGTTGGTTTACCTAGGCCCCACAACCATTCTAAATTGTTGATTTTCATTAAAAGTAAATAGTTTTTCATATCTCTTGTTTATATTTTTACTAACCATCTTTAACTATTTTTTTTTTAAATAGTGAAGTGGACAATAAAAATCTGGTGCGCGCAACACATAACTTTCACTTACTCTTTGAATAGAAATTATTTTCTGGCCATGTTGGGTTATTATAAAATGTTTAATTGCATTTTTAACTTAACTAAAGCTAAAATATTGCAGCTAACAAATCATAAATACTATTAAAAAAACTGGTGCGCACAACACACAACTTTCACTTACTCTTTGAACTTTGAATACAAATTATTTTCTGGCCATTATAGGCTATTATAAAATGTTTTAAATTGCATTTTAAACTGAGCTAAAGCTAAAAAAACACAAATGCTATTAAAATAACAAAAGTCCTATTTATTATATCACCGGTTGATTATGGATTGTACGATTTGTTGATTATGGATTGTTTGATCCATTGATTATGGATTGTACGACTATAAGTCATTAAACTGTTATTTTCCATTGCAAAGTTAATTAAAATGGAATTAAGAGTTTTGTATTGTCGGTCATAGACAGGTCAAAAATTGCACACTAATTCTAAGTGGATTCTGTTGGTATATCGCAAAAGGGAAATTTATCAAATTATTCACTAATTTAATTTCCTATAACGTTACATAATGATTTTTCCGAAAAAGTGAAAACTTCACAATTTAATTTTAGAATAAAAAAAATATTTAACTGTTATGTATATTTGTCAGTTCTTTTACTGTTTTTCTCAACAATTTTATTATTTTCGCAATAATTTTCCTTCATGTTTGTAAGGAGAAGACTTTTATTTTTGTCAATTTTGTTCAAAACGATTTTCAGGCACTAGGAAGAAATTATTATTTCTCCATTTTTCTCTTGATGCTCATTGCTATAAATAGTGTTGCCCAAAATCGGTCTTGGGATTGCACTTTGCAAGACCAATACCAAGGTCACCTAACTGTTGCAAGATCAAGAAAAGGACTGGTAAACATTAAAAAAAAAAAAAAAAATTAAGGCAAAATAGTTACTAATACTTGACAATCTTAGTTACTATAAGTAATCAATTGGTATAACTATTATATTTTGCATTTAACTCCTCTAATTTTCATTCGGGCTTAGTTAGGTTTCTTCTATCTTAAAAATGACTGTAATATCTCTATAGTAATAAGCTAATTAGTAACTGAAAGACTGTTGAGAGACTCTTTTTGCTAAGACCATGACTAAGACTGAGTTTGCAAGACTAAGACTCGTCTCAATCTCGCATTTGGTCAACACTTGCTATAAAGGATAATGGATAAATAAGTATTTTTAATGAAACAAATTATTATAAATGGACAATGCACTAGGTCCACACTGCCTGTCATCTCAACGTCAAATAAGCTAAATTGTGTCAGTACGATTGATATATGTTTACGTCATCATGATTGAAGCAATCCTTGTCAGTCATTTGACTTTCATTCATGACTTATAAGGTAGAGAAGGTCTTCATTCCAACGCTCACGTCCTCATTATTTGCAGTGACGTCATCACCATATATAGTCTGGTACTGCTATTACGGTGGCGCAGTAGTAGTGTCAGGTAGCTGATTAATTATGCCAGTGGGTGCTCCCCTCCCCCCCCCTCCACCACGAACAGCCTACAAAACCTTTTAATGTTGATTCTATGCAGCGCTAACTGTAGCTAATGAGTAGGCGCCCGTTTTTGGCAAGCTTCGTCGTTTCTTGCCACCCTCAAAGACCCCACCTGAATTAGCAAGGACTCCTTAACAGTGTCTTACTAAACTAGCCCTGCTAACAGCAAGGCTTCTTATTCTCTCGTTTTAGCTTTCGTGAAACACAACTCTAAACGTTGCAAACAAAAGTTCATATAATTATGTCCGTTAATTTCTAGCACTGTTTTTTTTTAAATAAATAAAAAACTGCTAATATACCTCTGTGAGAACTGTCACATTAGATTGCTATCTCCCTCTATAATGCATTTGACTTATAAGAAACACCAGAAAAGCATGTGTATTCGCATATATTTTTTATTTAGGAATTTTCCACTATAGTGGTTTTTCTTGACCTAAATATCGTTTAGAATATTTTGTAAAGTTGCCGATCCATAGCTTTTTCTTTTCTGATCTCATGCCCTGCTTAGATATCGAGGCGTCAATATCGATATTGCCACCGATATTAATATAGGTCTATAACTATCGATACTATCGAAATATGGATAATCGATATTTTCAACGATATTATAAACATTTTTGAAATATGAACATAAATATTGATTGGCGCATCAAAAAATATGTTATTTTCCTCTTTAAATTAATTAATGGAAATATCAATTCTTCTACTTTCCGTAGTAAAATTAATTTTTTAGTTCCTATCTATATTCGTCATCCTAAGCTTTTCCCCAGAAATTTCCATTCAACCATTGGATATTTCCATTTAACAAATTTATCCAGCTAATTTATTTGCACCCTAATTAATTATTGAAAGTATTGGTCACTTTTCTGTCTAAAAGAAACAAAATTCTCATATACAAAACCATAGCAAGGCCAGTGGTTATTATTGTTGCCCAAAATGGTCTTAAAAACCATGTTTTCTGATAAATGAAATACAGTACTAGCTAAAAACAACAAAAAGTTTAATCAGTATGTATGATATAAAACGTTAATGTTTTTGAGAGAAAAAAATAAAATTAACTAAACCCTCGCATCCCACAAGGTAGCATCTTAAGCAATTCATCTATTCTCTATACACCTCTCATATCCCTGAGCACCCTAGCACCACCTATGGTCACCTAGCACCACCACGTATTGCCCAAAATCGATAGGCCTTGGTCTTGCACTTTGTAAGACCAAGACCAAGGCCGCCTAACTGTTGCAAGACCAAGA